AACAAGGGGTTTCCAAGATTTGGGATTCAATAGCTTCATCATGCTTATTTCATCACAATTATATAATCACATTCATGCGAGCATACAATTAAGCATATAGAAGACTTTACAATACAACCCAACACATATCATTCGCTATTAAGAGTTAACTACGAATAGTATAAAAACCATAACCTACTTCCACCGAAGATTCGTGATCAAGTAAGCAAGTTCCCAAAGCTTTGTTCTTCTTCTCGTTTCTCCTCTTTCTTGTTCGATCCCCTCTCTCTCTCTTTCTGTTCTTTTCTTTTTCTTATTCAAACCCTCTTTCTTTTACCCTAATTAGCATATAATTAAGTATAAAAGATAGTGAATTAACCCATTAATTAATTCAAAGTTATCTCTTTTAGCCCTCAAGTAGTTAAATTATTAACATTAACCCACTAAATTTATAATTATAGCTGGAATAGTCCAAAACGTCCCTTAAAACATTTAAAGAAATCTGACCCCGCCTGGGATTACGCAGCCTGTGACGGGCCGTCGTGCCTGTGACGGGCCGTCGTGCCTGCGACGGTCCGTCCTGCTGCTCCGTCACAGAGTTCAGAGACTCCATTCCATTAAAGGGTCTGTGACGGTCCGTCCTGCCCACGACGGTCCGTCCTGCCATTCCGTCACGAAGTTCAGAGAGTCGATTTCAGTACCCAAATTTCAGAATTCTAAGTGTTTTGGAACGAGACCCCATCGACGTTCCGTCGTGCCCATGACGGTCAGTCGTGGGTTCCGTCGTCTCAGCCAGTTTTTCCAGAAATAAAATCTGCTGCTCAAAACGACTAAAAACAGGAGGAGGGAGAAGTATACATAATTTTCTTAGGTATTTTGTTTCATCAAATCTGGTTATCTCTTTTAGATATGTATATCTCCTTCATCTGCTTTTGTTCGTTTTAATCTTGCTTTTTTACTGGAATTCGATTCTTTTCTATGCATCTTTGTCACTGAATTTGGGTTTTTTTTGCTGCCATTGCTTTACTGGATGAGCCGTCCATACGGTATATATATAACCTCACATATTTAATCCAATTGAGTTTGCAAAACTAAAATTATGCTGCTGAATGCTGATTTATTATAAATAATCTGGTTATTTCTAGGGATTTTGGGAGAAGGGGTTGGCGTATTTTGTGGCAAAATCATTTCTAGAAAATATGAAGAAAATCAAGGATATACAAAAGATAGTAAAATGGCATATTAGTTAGTTTGATATATCGAACAAAATGAGTGAATTAAAGACAAATTTACAAAAAAGAGATTGTCATGAAGTCAAAATTTAGAAAAAAGAAAAGAAAAGAAAAGATAGTGATGAAATGAAGTCTTTCGTAGGTGATGAGCAGTAATAATTTATTCAATATTTTATATTATATATATTATTCTCATAAATTCTAAAAAAATACAATTAATTATAATTTATTAATTAATTTTTCTTTTCCAATTGAAAATAAAAATTTTTTGTAACATTTTCTAAGAAAATTATAAACACATATAAATTATTGTATGTTACATAACAACTCAAATATTTCAATCTCTTTTATTGATGATAGTTTTGAATTTTTTTTTCAAATGGATCAATTATTATAGAAACTATCAAGATTATTCTAAAAGTGTCTACAAATAAAATTAAGACCGTATTTCATTGAATATGTCAATTAGAATACCATTTTTACTTATATAACATTTGATAAATACTTTTAAATACAAAAATCAATATTATAATGATTGTTCCTTTATCACATTTAAAGTTACAATATTTTTAAAATCTGATTATTTGATAATCACATTAATTTGAGCTTAAAATATTTAATAAAACACCTCAAAAATTGAAGACAATGTTAAAACATAGTTGATTCAAGAGAAAAAAAGACATAAAGAGACCATCGAAGTTGTCCCATATTTGCATAAAGACATCTAAACTTTTGAAGTGTCTCATCACCCCACTAAACAACTATATATCGTTGTAAATTAGCCATTTTTACCCATTAACTCATCTGGGTTGTTTACACGCACGTTAGGCGCGTTATGGGCCATTTTTTTTCCTTTTTATTTACCAGTTTAAAACAGCCACATGTCATTTTCTTTCTTTGATATTAATTGTTTAATCAATTTTTGTATCTTCCCCAATTTAAACTCAAAAATAGCCTTTGGTAGCCCTAAAATTTTGATTTTTATGGCAAGAACAATGTTGGTTCTCTCTTTTTGACGACTTCATCATCTTCCTCAAGAAAATAAGGTAGGAATTCGTCTTTTTCTCTTTTAATTTCCAGTATAAACGTTAATTTTAAGTTTTTTTATGGTTGAATTTCTTCTCAATTTTGTGGTTAGTTTTTGATTGAAAATGTCAAATACAATGTTGAATCGTATTTGTAACAATAGCAACTGTAGGAGGTCGATTCTAACACTTCTACACTATAATAATCAATAAAATCAGAATAATAAAAAAAAGTGAAGATTTTAGAACCCTAACATGTTAGACCTTCAATCTCCAAGAATTTTCACAAATACACATCAACAACGATCAACAATGATCAACAACGAGATTGTCAACAACAACACTGTGTATTTCGTTTGATTTTTTAAGGAAAAGTTGAGAAATAAAATGAAAAGGAGTTCACGAATTTTCTTCCAAAAAAAAAGGTCGGATCGGGTTACCTAGAGAGTGAGTAACACGCGCATTACATAGACGACGGAATGAGTAAAAATGGTCAAATTACAACAATATATAGTTGTTTAGTGGTGTTATAGGATACTTTAAAGTTTATGTGTCTTTATGCAAATATGGAACAACTATTCGTATTAATAAAACTAAAAACCTTTTTTGACAACTATTTGTAGATGGTAGTATACATAAAACTGAAAAGGTATTTTGTTTCATCAAATTTGGTTTTCTCTTTTAGGTATGTATCTCCAACCTCTGCTTTTGGTTGTTCGTGTAATCTTGTCTCTTACTGGAATTTGTTTCTTTTCTGTGCATCTTCGTCTCTGAATTTGGGTTTTTTTTGCTGCCACTGCTTTACTGGTTGAGCCGCCAAGGCGGAATATATATAAGCTCACATATTTAATCCGATTGAGTTTGCAAAACTAAAAGGAAAAACAAGCAGCTGAATGCTGATATATTATAAATAATCTGGTTATTTCTAGGGTTTTTTTGGGAGAAGGGGTCGGCGGATTTTGTGGGTTACAAACACAAACTCAGTTATTTTTTACGCAGGTATCTTACTTAATCTTATTTCAATAAATATTTCATGGGATATTGGTTTATAGAGTAGTATTTGGTTATCGTATTTCTACTAATTGATTGCAGAAAGCATTTTATGTTTTGGTGACCATGTAATCTTTTTGAAGAATGTTCTCTGGGAAATAAGTCTCGAAAGGATGCTTTATATAGAATTATTTTTAGTGTTGTAATGAAATCAAGATTATAAGAATTCCACTGATGTTTATTTGAATTCTGAAAGAATGTTTGTTTTCTTTTTTAAAGAATACTGAAACTTTTTTTGTGCATTCGTAAGTGGTAGTATTTCTTTTGCAGAATGTGTATATTCTTCCCTAACCCCTGCTCAAATATATATTGACGTGTTAGCCTAGGCAGTGTATTGAGCTCTCTCTTGTAGTATTCATCCCTTTGAAATAGGTGTGACGCTATGTTGAGTTTGTTTCTTGTTCAGTTTCACTATCTCGCAGTTGCACTCCACTGCCTCTTTTACTTATTGGCTGCAGCTTGACACTGCTAAGCAATCTGACCTCCCTTTTCATTACATTTTATATGAATGTTCAGAAAACATACGTGTATATTTTGCCTGAATTGAGTGTTGATTTTTCTGACGTCATTATTTTTTGTATTCCTAGACGAAGATACACGTAGAGTAATATGATCTGAGAATTGAGATTCCCACTATATGCTTGACTGTTCTTTCTCTTCTCCAGTTTCAGCTCATAACTGTTAAATAAGTTCTTCAATGTTGGACCCTGAGGCTTTAGCAGATGAAAACTATGTTACTGTGCCTCGTGGTGGTCCTATTTACATTTCTGATATGGTTGGTCCACTCACTAAGGTTGCTGACTTTGAGGTCAGCATCTTCCATGAACTTGAGGTATGAAGCTGTTTCAACTTTGGATTATATTGGCACTCATTATTTGAAGCTTTTATGCCTTCTATAGATTCCATGGTCATGTGAACACATACTTGTATCAGTAGTTTGATGCATAGCTCTCCTGGATCCCGAATAAACAAAAATAAAAATGAAAGAAAGAAGAAAAAGGCCATTTTGGGTGTCATAATTTCTGAAACTTTGATTATGGTCAGTATTTTAAAGATCTTAATTTTGTTATGCAGCGCCTCAAGGCAGAGTTGTCCTCTGATTCACTGGAAATGTTTGATGATGAGATATCGTAAGTGTTTCCTCTACTCTGCTCCTCTTTGATGCTAGAAAAGGAGATGAAACCGATGTGTATCATATGTACCTTTTGCGTACTTTCTCTTGCATATCCTTTAATTAATTTCAGATGGTGATTAGTTCATTTTTTTGACATGCAACACTGCAAGTTTTTTGGTTTACCATGTCACGGATATGAGAGTGACAATTGAAACAGGATTTCCTGGAACGATTTGAGAGATTTCTCTAGCTTTTGCCGACATCAGCTCTCTGTTTGGGAGTCTTTGGGTTTTGTTGGATGAACAGTTTCTTTTTCCTTTCCAGAGTTTGGTTTGGAATATTCTGCTCCAAGTTTATTATTTAGACAGAGGAGATGACACAAAGTAATAGTGACTGAGGGGATGGTCTCATTGATTCTATTTCGTGTATAGTAGTTTTTTGGATGGTTTGTATTTATCAACAACACCTTGTTAGTAGGTTGTTGGTAAATTCTTTTTTGTCTACAAGTTACTTGTGACAACTATTAATTATTTTCTTTTACTTTAATTTAGGGAACGTAGTTTAAAGAATATTGTAATTGATTATGTTTTTAAATCACATTTCTGCTCCTGGTTGCTCAGTACTTGTCCAAAAGAAAAATAGTTGTACGTAATAGTTATGATATTATGATATTGACTCTTCAATTTCACTTTGGTAAGAGGACCTCTGGATTATTTCTTAAAGTTTGAGCAGTCTACTCAGATTGATCTGACTTTGGTCATTGATTCTTGCAGGATTGAAGATCTTAAAATTATCTGTGAAGAGGAATTGGTGGCTCAGGCCTTTGAAGAAGCATTTAAGGTATCAATTTTTAATTATAAGCAGCTATCAAAGAGTTGGTTTACAAATTCTCATTAATCCGAAAAAAGGGTTCCAAATTTTCACTTACAAGATAAAATAAAAGGGATCTTCATGTAATGATAACAGGATGACGAGTTAGGGATCCTCAACAACAAAGGTCCAGACAAAAGCAAGACCAACAAGAGGAAACGGAAGAAGAATACTGTTGATGTATGCTAGTGACCTTTTTCTGTTATACATATCTGTTCTGACACTCTATTTTCTGTTGTATTGAAGTCTTTCTTTAGTTCTCGGTAATTTGAGTTCTGTTTCCTCGTCTTACTTGAAGCATGTGTCCTATCCTATCATGAATGAGGGTTCTATATTGTCATACTATGCATTAACTGGGACTATCTCGCTTGGATGAGTAATCTAGCATTTTGTTTTATATTGAAGATTTAGGTTAAGATGTATCAAGACTAAAGAGTTAAAGAAACGTTCAAGCTTATTTTCATCTTTTTAATCCCTTAAGAATTTACTTCCGATTTTAGACTCACAAGCGTTTATCATAGATAGGAAGAAGTGGATGTATGAAAACTGAAATGTCAATACTCCATAACACATACTTTAGAAGTGATGTTACATGAACGGAAGCTCCACCAGACAATCACAGGAAAAAGCCTCCAAAACTCAAAGAAATCTATTTCTATTGTCATATTAGTCCTAGTAGCTCATACAACTTAAGTTCCAACAAGTTGAAATGGAGAGATCTCCCAAGTTTAGCAATACATTTTTTTAAACAGGAGAAAATAATATTTGATCAGGATATATTGACCCCCCCAAGATATAAAATTTGAACAGGAGAACAGAGACTGTCAAACATAATTCGTTTCATTGACATGATAGTGGTTGCTCATTTTTTCGCCATTTTCTTTCTTGTTGCAGTTTTAATGTAAGTGTGTTTGCTTGTTTACTTTTTCAAATAATAAGTTGATGTTCTTGCATTTTGTAGGAACACTATATTTTGAAGGTGGAACAACTTGCAAAAGTTAAAGAGAAACAAGAGGAGGAGAAAGCAGCTGCACGATTGCACTCTTTCAAGTATAGATCATCGTTTCTAGTTGATATGCTTTTATTTATTACTAAACCAACCTGTTATATCGATTGTTTGTATTTGCATATTTTGTATTCTTCATCTTAGCTAACGTTTTTATATTGGTTCAGTGGTAGTTGTAGCAGCAGCCACTCTGCTCCAACATCCTCCAGTAAGAGTGGTAGGATGATATCACTCAAGTCAGGAAGCTTGGGAACAAAGGTTATGCTTCTAAGAATCTTGATTCTTTTTTACTGTATGTCATGGTTTTGGATGAGTCTAGAATTTTTAAAGTCTGAGCAAGGCTTAAGTTAGTTTAAGGATTATTCCGGCTGTTAAAAAAAATTAATGACCAATTCAGTCTTTTTTCCTTTATTTGAAGGAGAGACTTCTAATCACCTCAGAGATATAATTGAATGGTTTTCATCACCCCACATAATCTCATTGCAAATTTTATTACTTTCAAATGCCATGATGCAACTGTGTGACCATCCAACTCTACTTTCCCCTATGACTGCAAAAGTCTGGCGCGCATGGTAGATCAACATTCTGTTTGTTGAAATTCCCTTTTTGGACTGGTCAAATTTATTTGATAAATTAGGCAAGAACAAAAAATTACCACATTTACTAGAAGGTGCAAGGAGCACACATTGAGGATAAAATAGGAGAAAGTTACTTGGGATTGTTTAGTCCTATCCTCTGTATACCTACATATGCACCAGCCTATAGGTGTAAGATTGTGGTGAGTGAGGGTGTTAAAAAGGAATGAGGTAGACCTAAATCACGGGATTTCTGTTGAAAGACCTACAATTTCTCAGAATTAGTGTAGACTTTGGCTGAAGATGAGCACATTGGAAGAAAAAAGATCCATATAGGTGATATCTGGCTAAAGTAATTTCATGTTAGCCAATACATTGCACTTGCATAAATTGTAAATCTGTAGTATATTCTGTGATGGCATCATGACCTTTCCAATGTCGCTTTCAAGAGCAGGCTAAAGTAATTTTATATCAGTTTTATTCTGAATTAGATGTGCATAACACTTCTATAGTTTTAGTCCCCAAAATTTCTGCTATCTTAGTTATAAACAGATGATGGTTTGTTGATTTTGATCTTGGTTTTTTTAATGGCAGGTGAGAGCAGTAAATACTCGTGAACATATTGCATTGCAGTTTCCAGAAGCTATCCTGTGTGTTGAGATTTATCATTACAAAAAGACATGGACAAAAGTATGAACATGCTCTTTATTGCTGCTTGAAGCGCTGATGAAATGAAGTTAAATATTATTTCATTTGTATATTTGTGTTATCTGCCACCTTTCATCTTCATTCTCTTGAGTAGTCATATTAATTCTCTGGGAACAGTATGCTTGATACCTTATCTGTATTATGAGATAGAAGCTATTTGCTAGGTTATAGCTTATTCAGGGTGCATTTTGTATGCTTTGACTATTCCGACCCGCTGCCATAGTATTGAAACAATTTAGTTAACCTTGTTGAGGATGATCAAATAACGTCCTGTTGTTACTTCTTTTAGTAGTACTCATGTAACTTCTGTCCTATTGTTATGACTGACTATGATGATATGCCATAGTATTGAAAGAATATAGTTAACCTTGTTGAGGATGATCAAATAACGTCCTGTTGTTACTTCTGTTTTAGTAGTACTCATGTAACTTCTGTCCTATTGTTACAACTGACTATGATGATACCTATCTGTAGACACAAGAATTTCTGGTTCTTGGGCGGCAATTTTTGACAGAAATGAGAGACAAGATTTATTGCATTACTGATGAGATAATGAAAAAGACAGGCAAAAATGATCCTTCGGGCTTTTTCCTCGTGGAGGTAAGTGCTCTAGCAAAATTTTCTTCCAAATGATTACTATCAATTTTGTCATCACCAACCTAAATATTTTCCATAGGATGTCTTTTGCAATGATTTCAGGCATCCTTCTGCTACTGACTACAGTAAGCCAATACTTGATTGGCTTCAAGATTCTAGAAGTGAGGCGGTGGAAAAATGGGAATCTATCGCTTCTGGTGAACTGCCACAGAAACAGAAGGCACTTTTTGGCAGTAAAATTGGACCACAATTGCCCCATTTCAAGACCATTCAAATGCAAAAAACCCGCTTCTGTGACTTATGGTTTCGACTTGGTGCTGGATATCTTTACTGTCACCAGGTAATATTTCTTTCTCAGTTTGTTTTGTTTTTCTGTTGCTCAGGGAAATTTTTCATTAATAATTCAAATCAATGTTCATTAGTAATACTTCACCACAGAAGTCTTAAGATAAATACAATGAGTATACACATATTATGACATATAGTTCCAGTCATGCATCAAGACTACCCAATTCTGTGCGCACCCAAAGGGTAGCGGCTGCGGGTTTCCCTTGTCAAAAAAAAAAGACCCCCAATTTTTTGATTTTCTTTTGGACGATATCCAATTATTGATAGAGAGGCATTTTCTATTTCAACAATTGCCAGTTTGCCACTATGCCTCCATCCTTATCTAGTGGTGTCGGGTATATGAATCCTCTGTATTTGTTCCTCTCTTCAGAGCCATATCCTTCCAATGCTGGGAAATAATGTCATTTAAGGCCAATGGTAGATTTAAAAAAAAATAGAAGTTCTTTGATGCTCACACTCATTTCTACCAGGACATAATGTTAAATGTAACAACAAAAACTTCAATCGTAACTAGTTGGTTTCACTTATAATAATTATTTGATTCTACTATGTTTTGTTAAGTCTGCATTAATATCCTGAAGTTATAGATTTCAGGCAGTGAATTTCTACATGATTTAAGGTTCAACTTGTACCTTGCAGCATCTTCAATCACTACAAACTTTTTCTTGACATAGAAAATAGAACCCTCAATCACTATAAACTAGATTTTCAGATAGATGCAGAACTTTTAGTGTATACTCTTTTAGCAATAGAAGTGGTTGGGAAGGCTCTGTGGTGTACAAGAGCTCCTATAAGAGTGTGTCTGGAGCTTCTGAGGGATCAACAAGTCATTTATTCCAATTTCCTTCATTGAAAAATGGTGAAGGATATTTTTGTCCTATGGAATAAAATAGGCAAGGGTGTATTATGACACAATTAGTGGTAGATCTTTTTCTCTGCTTTTTGGGAGGGGAGCAACGTATCCAGTGTAATCTCATAAGTGAGGTCTAGAGAGGGTAGTGTGTATGCAGTCCTTGCCCTATCTTGTGAACTTAAGAGAGATTGTTTCCGATAGACCCCGTCAAGTAAAGCATACTAGACATCATTTGACTGCCTACTAACCTTGTTCCCTTATCCTAGACCTCCATATCCTCTTATTTAGGGTCATGTCCTGCTAAGCGTCAAGTAAAGCATGAACTTTAATGGAAAGAGGCAGAAAGGGAGAAAAATACAAACATAGAGGTTTTAGATCAAGGCTAATAATTACAAGGATAAAAGACAAATATACGAACAAAGAAAAAGTTACGACAAAAATGAACTCTCAGTTATTTAGTGTGTCAGACGTTCATTGGCAAGAAAAAATATGCCATAGAACTTTAACAATGATACTGAAGACACATTAACCAAGGCGAAGTGCTCAAGACATTTTGAGCCTCGTTTAGGGGTTAAGCGCGCATTTGACAACACTGATCCAACCTATTAATCATTGAGATTTACCTGCAATACCTTAAATGTATTTGATTCTGTAATAATGTTTCATTGTCAAACGTTATGTTTAGCATGAATTGTAGTACTCTATGTATATATGTTCATGGATTTGTGTCTGTTTGGCATGGTCTATAGGGGTCCCGCTAGCATCATTGAGATTTACCTGCAAATACCTTTGAAATACTTGATCCTGTAAATTTGTTTCCATTGTTAAACTCGATCATGTTAAGCACGAATACTATTTATATCTTATATTGATTTTTTGTCTGTTTTTGCATGACATAAAGGGAGACTGCAAGCATCTAGTTGTAATAAGAGACATGAGGATGATACACCCTGAGGATGTACAAAACCGAGCCGCGTATCCACTGATTACCTTTCAGCCAAAATTGAGGTTCCAGAAATGCTCTGTTTGCAAGATTTTTAAAGCAGTTAAGGTGACTGTTGATGATAAATGGGCTGCTGAAAATCCTTGCTACTTCTGTGAACTGTGCTATTACATGCTCCATTATGTAGATGGGTCTTTGCTTTATGATGATTTTTCTGTTTATGAGTATCTCCATGAGTAGAATGTAATCAGAACAGCACAAGTTATATAGTAATCCCTTTTCTTTTGTGTGTGTTTTATTCCTGTATACAATTTACAGGTAGGGTATATTTGGTCTTTCGAAAACAACCTTCTCTACCTGCGTACACCTATCTAGGGGTGGGCATTCGGTAATTCGGTTTTTTTTTCCGGTTTTTTCGGTTCTTGTACAATGTGTACCGAACACCGAACCGAAATAATTTGGTTCGGTTCGGTTTTGTTACTTCGGTTTTTTTAATGGGCCTGCTTAGTTGGGTTTTTAAAAATTTTCAAATTTTTTTGTTTGTTTTAACTTAATGGGCTAAAAATAGTTGCATCAAAAAGTGTCTTTTTACTTTTTAATTTTTTTATTTTAAATTATAATATTTATTATTTAACATTAATAATTAATATAATATAAATATATATTATAATATAATATATTTCGGTAAATTGAATTACCGAATAACACAAAATTATATATCGAAAATCGAATTGATATATCGATAAAAATACAAAAACATATACCGAATATCAAACTGAAAAACCGAAATATCAAAAAAATTTGGTTCGATACGATGTTTCGATTTTTCGATATTTATGCTCAGCTCTACACCTATCGTTTTCAGATTTTATTTTTGAGATAACACTGAGTCTGTTGTCGTTAGTTCGTTTGTTATGATGTAAAAAAAATTGAAAAATACTTTCCGGTGCCTCGTTTGGAAAATGAAAAACATTTTTCAAAACAAATTGACAAATGCCAATAATATTTCAACACATTGAATAATCAAAGACTTGAAGTTAGAAAATTGAGATACAAGGAAGTTGAAATAGTTATTAACCAATTTTTTTAGTTCTCTTGTCGGGGGTGTTGCTTCAAAAATTGGTCCCGAATTAATCGTATTCTAATGTGGATATCTGACATGTACGGAATAAAAACTTCATTTTTGATTTTACGAGAATTTTCATGAAAGCCATTGATTTGCTTTTTTTCGATAAAAGTTTGATTTATTCTAATTGTCGAAACATATTCAAATAATATGCCAACCTTAATTTTGTGAACCACCCACATCTTATTCTAACACTAGCATTAAAATTTATTTTACGATTTAAATCCATAACTTATAGATTACGCAAGATAACTTTATCGTTACTCTAATACTCAATCAAAAATATAAGAAAGAAAAAAATGTGTGGACCATGTTAAGAATAAAAAAGGATCACCACTAATCAATAGTTTACCAGTAATTAATCAGCATATAAATATCAGATATTTTTACCTTCTTCATAATCCTCATTTCCAAAAAAGCACCACCGGATCTCTTCCGTGTACGGCGGTCACGGAAAAAACCTCCCATTATCGGTCCGCCGTCTACTTCTATCAAACTTCCCGTTACCGGTCCGCCGTCAACTTATAACTTTTCTTCTTCATCTTCTTCCAATACTATCCAAAATTTCAAAAATCCGTGTAATTTTCTCAAATACATGGCATTTCCTACATTTCTTAACCGGAATGTGTCAGATCTGTGCGTAGGGAAGCCGACATTGAAGCCATTGTCAGCGGCAGCCACCGTTTCGGAGGCGTTAGCTCTGTTGAATAAATCAAACGAGCCTCATGTGAGCGTGTGGAGCTGTGACCATTCGAAGAATGTTCTGGAAGGTGAATGTGAATGTGTTGGGAAGATTTGTATGTTTGATGTAATTTGCTTTCTCTGTAAAAATGAGAATTCGGAGAATCCTTCAAAGGCTTTGGAGACATCCGTTTCACAGATTTTGCCCAAAGGAAATTTAATTGTGAGGCATTTGGCGCCAAATTCAAGGTTAGTGACTACCGAATACTCTCTCGTTTTTATTTACAAGTCGTCCTAGTTAAAAATAGATGGTCTTTAATATTTCTTCGTACATTTTTACTTGTGATATTTTTCTTTCGTAAAATCATGTATTTTTTTCTATCATATTGCTACATATAGTGGTTTTGTATAGTTTTTGATTTTTTTGTTTAAAATATCAAACTAATATGATCTAATTTTATTTTAAAAATTGATCAATTTTTATAATTGGCAACGTGACAATTAAAAATAGATGAAAGAAGTATTTTCGTTGACATTATTCTTTTTATATTATGTTCGAGAGTGGTAAGTTTTGAAGATATGAATTTGACCTACATAAAAAAATTAAATGATTAATTTGTATTAATTGGTCAATTTAATTAATAAAAAATAATTAGTTTGTATTTATTTGGTGAAAACTTGATTTTAAGAAAATAATAAATAAATATACAATTTTCTTAAGAAATGTAAAATCTAAATTGATGACATATAAATATGAATTATTTTTCTCTTTTAAATTTGGATACCTGTTTGGTATTTTAGCTCCCATATGATCATAGATTTGAAAGTTGAAAATTTGAATTACGAGATGTGTTTGGACATATATTTTATCTGGAAGACAATTGAACTTTTATGAGTGGAACTCCCAAAAACAACTTTGATCATGCTTTATGAAACTTGGGGCCCGTTTGGCCATAGATTTTCCAAATAATATTTGGGAAAAATTTGGCAAATAATGTTTGTCCATACAATTTGTCATTATTTGACAAATATTCCAAATTTCCAAATACAAGTTTTTTCTAGTATTTGGGCCAAATCTCATTATTTGAGATCTTTTAAAAATTCAAAATTTTACCTCAAATTTTTATCTTTTACAAAAACACCCTCTATAGTAGTTGTTTGTATTGTATTACATAATTATTTTATGTGAACACCAAAATAGTGATGAAATATTTAGTGAATATTAATAATGATATGATTTTTGATGAAAATGATGAAAAATTAACTCAAGGTAATAAAATCATGTGCTTCGTCTACTTCACAATGTATGGAATGATACTTGTTGCACTCGCTCCAAATTACCACATTGCTCTAGTGTGATAGAAACTATTTGTTATTATTGTAACGAACATCCAATTGACTTGTAATATCAACTTATAGTTAGTTTTAATAGTTTTTAAAACTTATGGGTATAAATCATATTTTTCTAAAAAGGCGAAATATATTTCCCAAATTCTATGGCCAAACACATGGTGAAATTTCACCCAAATTTTCACTCAAATAATATTTGCCAAGAATATTTGAAAATTTATGGCAAACGCTAGCTTGAAAATCTTCAAAGATCGGATTTTGGATAAAATTTAATTAGATCAAATAGATATTTAGGGTATGTTTGGAAAATTATTTGGTAATTAAAATTGGTGTAATTAATTACCAGCATAGTAATTACATTGTCTACTAATTATACTGTCCTGTTTGGTTGGGATTAAATTGTGATTACACACAACCTGTTTGAATGTCACAATGTAATTACACATGTTCTCTTTGGATGCACGATTGTAATCATAAACTATAATAAATTTTAAAAACAAAAATTAATTATTTAAAATCTATACTAGACAAATAAGAAACTTTATAAATGACATTAAATTAAATATTTAAGATATATATTATTTTTTTAAAATATATTAATTAATAGGCATATTTTTTTAACTAATATTATGAAAAAATAATTGATTTATATTTTTTCAAATTAAAATATTTCAATTAAATTGATCGTAAAAGTATGGAATTTCTATTAAAATCGTGAAATGCATGTTTGATAAAAAGAATAATATATAATTAGAATGTCATAAATGATTAAATGTTTGATAAAATATAATCTATCAAGTATAATTAAAAAACGACATGTAATGTAAATTCAATATTACTAAAACAAATGAACTGAAAATATAACATAAGTTATAAATTCAAAACAAAAAATTTAATATAATACTCTTATAACAAATTTCAACATAGCAATAAATATGATTTATTTTTATTTTTTCTTAACAAAGAAAACATAAGTCTGTAACTTTACTTAACAATAAATTTTATTTTAATTTAAAAATTAAAATACTAATAAAATTAATTTAATGAGGAAATAAGCATAGCATAAATAAATAGATAATACAAAAAAATTACATAAAATCACATAAGAAAGGTTGAGAATAAGAAGAAAAAGAAATATAATAATATAAAATAAAATAAACTTTTTCAATTTTTAAAAATAATAATTAAAAAAATTAAAATAGAAAATTAAAAAATTAAAAAATAGCTACACTCTACCAATTATATCAATTATTAACTGACCAAATAATTACATGTCTTCCCAAACAAGGCAAAATAGTGTAATTGCACAAATTACACCAACTCTAATTTCCAAACAGGTCTTTAAAGATAATATTACAAAAATTATTTTCAAAATTTATGATAAAAAACTAGTTTAATGTATGAAAATAAACTAAAAATGATCTTTAAACTATTGAAAATAGAACAAAAGTGTATTTCCTTTGATTTTTCATCAAAACATGTATGAAATTATTAGGAATAAAACACAAATATCTTGGTCGTAGTGTGACTGGCCCAACTATGCCCCATCCAGTAAGCTAATGACGATAAGGCATGTTTGTTATAGTGTAATTATGTTAGATGCACAATTACAATCGTAAAATTATAATAATTTTTTTTTAAAAAATAATTATTTAAAATTTATACTAGATAGAGTAAATAAGAAATTTTATAAAAATGAGATTAAATTAAATATTTATGATATATATTGTCTTTTGAAAGTATATTAATTACTAAACATATATTCTTAATTAGTATAGTAATATTATGAAAAAATAATTCATTTTATATTTTTCAAATTAGTATATTTCAGTTGAATTAATCGTAAATACTAAAAGTATAAGATTTCTACAAACATCATGAAATGCATGTTTGATAAAATGATTAGTATTATTAATAAAATATCATAAATTATTATTTCATCTGTTTCAAAAAGAATATACCACTTTCTTATACTAAAAAAGAATGACCTCTTTCATTTTTTGACAACAATTTAACTTTTAACTTTCCACGTGACATGTTTAAGACCACAAGATTAAAAACAATTTTAATACATATGACATAACTTTTATTTAGAACCACAAGATTAAAAAATCTTATTTCTTTTCTTAAACTCCGTTCCAAGTCAAATTAGGTCATTCTTTTCGTAAGTTTGACAAAAAGATAATTTATCAAGTCTAGATAAAAAATACTAAATGACTTGCAATGTGAAGTCTTTACTCAATAATATTACTAAAACAAATGAAACTAAATAAGTTATAAATTCAAAACAAAAAATTTAACATAATACTCTTATCTTAAGTTTCAACATAGCATACATAAATATGATTTAGACGAAAACGTAAGTCCATAACCTTACTTAACAATGAATTGTATTTCAATGGGATGAAGAGGTGCTACATTTTCCTTGTTTCATCATATTCCGGCCCCATTTCATCCAACTTTTCCTCATTAGCCACAAAATTGTGTGTGGTTTCTATGAATCTATAGTTTTACTTGTTCACTAGGTCTAGTATCAAGGATGTATGTTAACAGAGGCGGGATCAATATTAGGAGTTTAGGGGTTCTAAATTTTTTTCTCGTTCCTTAATCCTTTCTATTGAGTTGTCAATCAGTTCGTACGGGTGCACACTTACTTTATTTTCTAGTACAAATATAGTGTGAAATTAGGTATTAGACCTAACTCTCACTCCAAAAGCTAGTTCAAAGGAAGGAGGATTGTCCAAGCCTTATAAGGAGGTCACCCATCTCATTAACCACCGATATGAGACTTTTGTCATTCTTTAACACCCCACCTCACGCCCAGTGCTTAGTATCTGGTGCGTGGGCAATTTTGATTTTGGGGACCCCAACATCGGGCTAGACGGGCCCTTGCTCTGATACCATGTGAAATTAGGTCTTAGGCCTAACTCACACCCCAAAAGCTAACTCAAAGGGAGGAGGATTGCCCAAGCCTTATAAGGAGCCACCCATCTCATTAACCACCGATGTAGGACTTTTTTCATTCTTTAACATATAGGATTTACGGAAAAACTATTGGATTCGTCCGAACCCATGAACCCCCACCTAGCTCTGCTCCGCCCTGTGTATATATGTTTGGTATGTCTGCATTCCTAGTTTAAATGAAGCTTTGCTATTCTGTTTACATTTGTTGTTTCATGTTATTGATTGTCTTCCGGTATCTTTGTTATTTTGTTCAGCTTGCTGCAGGCAATAGATTACATTCTTGAAGGCACTCAGAATCTGGTTATACCAATCCAAGATTACATAGGCGGGAAGCCAAGGAAAACACAGAGTAAATCATCCTCCCTGCGTTGCAAACATCGTAATGGAGTTGAATATTGTTGGCTTACGCAAGAAGATGTTGTCCGCTTCCTTCTGAACTTTATTGGTGTCTTCTCTCCTATCACCACTTCTTCAATTGAGTCGCTCAACGTCATAGATTGTAATGTGATGACTATTTGTTACCACGAACCTGCAATGTCTGCTTTAGATTCCCTTACTCTTGCACATGTTGAGCAAACTTCAGTAGCAGTTGTTGATGATCTCAACAGATTAATCGGTGAAATCTCCCCTTCCACTCTTTCCTATTGTGATGAAACTGCAGCAGCAGCAGTCATGACACTTTCAGCTAGTGATCTATTGGCATACATCGACTGTGGTGGTCCTCCAGACGACTTGGTTGATCTCGTGAAAGTGATATTACAAGAGAAAAAGCTTAGTGCGTTATTGGAACTAATGGATGAAGAGTTGTCTTTATCTACGTCGTCATCATCATGTTCAGCTTCTCTCAGTTGTTCTTCTGATGATGAATTGGGGGTTTGTAGAAATAATGGCTCAGGACGATATTCTTCGGCTAGAAGGGCAGAGGCTATCACTTGTTATCCAAACAGTTCATTGGTGGCTGTGATGATTCAAGCACTTGCACATCGCACAAGTTCTGTATGGGTTATGCATGAGGATAACACTTTGATTGGCTATGTAACGTTTAAAGGAATCCTCAAAGTTTTCAGAAGCCTCGCAAACGCGAGGATGATAACCAGATAAAGGAGAATTCAGTGAAGCAATAACATGTTATACAACACAGAATTGTGTAAAAATTCATTCAAATTGCAAATTTTGCACAAACGGGAGCCCTTTTTCTTTTGCTTTTTTGGTGGTGAGTGAAGGAGTTGTAGTTAGTTTTGGAACTTATTGATCTTTGTTGCTTCAATGATCATTTTGTTTATTGATTATTTTTGTTAGTGGAAGTTACAAAATATCAATTTCATGAATCATGGTTATGCAATCAATAAATGAATCAGGTTTGTGGTGGAGTGATAACTACTCCTTCATCTTCGATCAGAGCTCTCGGATTTGAGTTCCTTTTAGTATTGTCTTTGTTAGAGAGCATTTTCCCCTTGAATGTGAGATTTTTCGGTACGAAATTGAATTTAGTCATGCTAGGTATAAAATACCGCCAAAATAATTCATCTGATTCATTAAACAATATGAGGAAAAGGACAAATATAATCCTGAACTATCGTAAATAGTATGCAGATATCCTCTGTCATACTTTTGGGACATTGATATCCCTGCCGTCCATAAACTAGAGCATATATGCCCTTCACTCTAACGGAAGACTAAATAGGGACACGCGGCACAATCTCATTCGTCGATAAATGTCAGATCGATGGATAAGATTATGACACGTGTATGTCCATTAGTGTAAAAGGTATACATGCTCTAGTTTTTGCACGGCAAGTATACCAATATCTTAAAAATATGACGGACGATATTTACATACTATTTGCAATAGTTCAAAAATATATTTGTCTTTTTTTTCAAACAATATGAATGAATTTAAGATTATCTGATCCATAAATCCCACCCTAACCATTTTGAGTTTAGGCAATTAAAAACCATATGAACATACTCGAACAGATTATTTCTTTTTCACTAGAAGATAAGTTATAGTTATCTTTAGTTGGTGTAAGAAAATAAGTAGAGTATACTTTTTCAAATTTTTAGTATACAATTACAAGTTAGAATTTAAAATTTTTATACGTTAATTTTTAAAAATTATGATAAATAATTGGAGACAGAAAATAATAATAATAATAATAATTGATTAAAATTTGGTAAGGATTCAATCATTAATGTCAGACAGTGATGTTTGACATTCCAGATTTTAAAAATAATTATACTAAATTAATATTTCTTCCTACGATATATTTTGTTTAATCTAATCGTTATCTTGCTTTTCATTTGAAAAGTCAACGAGGTTTATCTAAGATAATCTTATTTGTGCAATAAATTAATTAAATTGTCATTAGCTGGATACATTATCTAATAGTTGGATTACAACCTAAACCAAAATACCCGTTTTAGTAAATTGAATATACATTATTCAAAATATTAGATTTTTAAAAATATTTAAGTGGTTTTCTTAATGAGACGAAGAGCTTTTGATAAATCATAAGGGATTAATTCAAAATAGATTGTATGGTGTAAAATTATTTAAAAGTTATTCTGGTTTAATAATTGATATTAAAGTCAACGATTAAAGAAGAGGAATAAAAATGATGACATGATATTTTACGTAATGATTGATTTGAATAAATTTGAGGCGATTAATGAATTATGCTCCGATTCAAATAGTTTAAGGATAAAATTTGTTCTATTTTTCTTGTTTGGAAGCAACTTTCTTGAGCTAGTTAACTAATGGTGAAAGCAATTCCTTTTAGTAGAATATAAAATGAAATATGATTGAAAAAGAGCTTTTATGAATAGTTCAAAGCATATTTTTATTTCTTTTTTTAAATTAAAGAGGAAACAAAAGGATGTTGGAATTGATATAACAAATAAAAAGAAGAAATGACGGTTAAAAATACACTTAAACTACGTTTTTTTTGTGAATTTTAGATTCTAACTATTTCGTGTTCCTTTTTCGTAACTAAACTCTGTCACTAAGCATTTCTTTTTTATGTTTAAATTATCACCATTTATGCATTAACACATACATAATATAGTCAATATCGAATTATTTTAGATCACATACAATGATAGTTAAGTATTACAAAAAGAAAACAAATATTAGCTACATTTCAATTCGTTTGTTTATCTTTTCTTTTTTAGTTTATTTTTTTTTAAAAGAAAAAATTACATGTCATTATTAAAGTCACAAAATTAAAAAAACACTTTTGCTATATTTGATACATCTTTATTTACAATCATGCAATTAATTTTTTTTTTTTTACTTTCTTATACTCTATCTGTCGAATCAAATTGGAACAAATAAATATAAAGGAATAAATAATTAAAATAAAATTCAGTATATTTTTAACCATGAAAAGAAAAGAAGTCATTAGTGTGTGGATCACGAATTCGAGAGGGTTTATTTCTGTAATAAATCCATATTATATCGAAATAAAGTCAAAGTCGCGTAAAATCGAGAGGGTTTATTTAAATTTTCTAAATGGTAAATTATTATTTATATAATTAATTTTTATTATTTTAGATATGGAATCATCTTCAATTTGTTTGTGTATTTTTTTTTATATTTTCAATCTTGTAAAGAAAATTTTAAATTCACTATTAATACAGATCGAAGAAATAAAATCTCAATAACATCTTTATGCAATATGCGAAAAATACTAAAAAACACGTGTAAATATTATTTAAGTACAATTTATGTTTAATTGACTAAATAATCAAACTATCGAATTAGCCTTCAAATTTAGGTTAAAATAAACTATTCATAGTCTACCCTAAATGGTATACTACTATTTAGTTCTCTTTTTATTTTATATCACCCATATTATTTTTTTCTCAATAAATTATAACAATTATAAGAAAATCAATTATATTTCTTCAATATCTATTAGATTCAAATTCAAAAGAATCAAAGATGTTATGGAAATTATAAAACTAATATTAAAAAGATAAATATTGTTATATATATATATATATAAAGAGATCTTTAATTTATAAAATTCTAAAATCTTTCTTTAAATAAAATAAAAAAACCAAATATAAAAGAAAATTAAATAGAAAAACCAAATATACAAGAGAACTAAAAATATTTTATGCTAATATTTTAACTTTCCTTCGATAAAAATAACAATTTAAATATGATAAAAAAATCAGAACACAATAATAAACACTTGCGAAATTTTTTCAAATATACTTATTTTTAATAGTTATAATTTTCATTATTAGAGTTAAAAATTTATAAAAAATTTAGTTAACATTTTACATGCATTTTTCATCATATTGACGTGCAAAAAATAATTTCTAATACTTTTTGTATAATTTTTTAATTTTTTTTATTTAAAATATCAAATTAATGAAATCTAATCATATTTTAGTAATATATCAATTTTAACTTTTCAAAAATTCAAAAATAAAACAATAATAAATTTTAATATTTTAATGGAAAAATATTTTATATCTAAATTCATTAAAAAGAAATTCAAATGGTGAAAAAGTAGTTGTATTTATTTAATTACAAAATCACTCGTGTATGTATAAACTCTACGCCACGTGTCCCACTGATAACTACAACTCCTTTTCTCTTCTTTTTTTTTATACAAGAACGGAGGACTATTACAGCACCAAAGTTTAGTTTTTCACTCACAAATTCGAAAAAAAAATTCTGTTTCTTTTTTTTTCTGAAAAAGAGAAGAAAAGGGTGTTGAGAATTAGTGATACTGATGATGATTCTTTGGTTTTGAGAATTTTTTGGGGTGTTTTAGTGTAGAAAGGGGAGAGATTTGAGGAAAAAGGTGAAAAACAAGAGAAGAAAAGGGTGTTGAGGATCAGTTATTGTGATGATTTTATGGTTCTGAGGAATTAATTTTGGAGTTTTTGGGTGTTTGAAGGGGGAATTAGTTTGGGGTTGTGTGGTGTTTTGAAGGAGGAAATTGAGGGAAAAGGGATATGTATACAGGAGGTTTAGGAGGGCCAATGAGAAAATCATTTAAAGATTCTATAAAAGTTCTTGAAGCTGATATTCAACATGCCAATACACTGTAAGTCAACTTTTCTTTACGTGTATTGATATCTGAAAATCTTATGCTGTTTTAGAATCATAGTATAAATTTTTTTCACCCCTTTTGAGTTTTTTCTGGTTTCTATCCTGTTTGAGTTATCTTTTGGTTTTTTCTTTTCTGGTTTTGTTTTTTTCTCTGCAATTTTGGTTCAGTAATATCTTTTACTGATATGGGGTTTTGTTAAGTTTTGATCTTTTGTTCTGTATTTTGATATTTCTGTCCTTTGGTATGCTGCAAACAATAAAGTCAGGATCTTTTTTTGGGGGAGGTGGTTAATTGAGTTTGTTTGATTGTGAGACTGTTTTTAGCCTACCAAAATGGGATTTTTGAAGTTGGTAAGTGAATAGTGGCAGAAAGTAGATATTTTCCCCTTCTTCTTTTTTTTTTTGGTTTTCATTGTGTTATCAGTGTTAGTTTGATGTTCACTTCTTTGATTGCTTCAATCTGAGATAAAGGCAACATTTTTTGTGATAATTGATACTTATCTTGTAAAGTGTGTGCAGTTCTAATATTCTTATTATGGAACTTTATTTGGTAAGGCTTCACATTATTTGAGAACTCTCTTGAAAAGTTGTACCAAGAGAGTAAATGGTTGGTTATTTTATAGGTCATTTTTCACTCCACTAGTGGTTTTCTGGTAATCATTTGGTTTTCTCTTTTATACTTTTTCTAGTATAGAACTGGTGTCTTGAGCTAGCTTGCATGCACCTCGAGTAATCCATCAGTCTGTCCTGCTGATAAGTACAGGTGCCTTAAGTAACCCATCAGCCTAGGATGTTTTACTCCATGCCTCAATAAGCCATCTCCTTCCCTGGGGGGTGGGGGGTGGGGAGGATATACCAGCAAATTAGTGCCGACATCTGCTAAGGCTGACTTGGTAGAAGCAAGGCTCTTGGTGGCATCACTAGAATGAAATATTAGCTTAGCATCGACACATGGCATACCTTTCGGTGTCAAAATAGACCAGTACCCACCTTTTATTGATGGCATTACCTTAATAAAGATCATTTAGGAAATGTTTTGTTGCTATTGGTGATTTGATTTGGCGACGATCATTCTCTGTTTGTGGTGAATGTTTCTCCTGACCTTGTAACGTGGTGTTTACCTCTTCCCTCTTGCTTGGTCTTTTTTCATCTGATGGCGATGTTTGGAATGCAGTGCATCTGACTTTTCGGGGGAGTATGATGGTGCTTGCTTACAGATGCGAATGTCATACAGTCCTGCAGCACACATCTTCCTTTTCTTAGTGCAATGGACTGATTGCCATCTTGCTGGTGCCCTTGGTTTGTTGAGAATTCTTATTTACAAGGTTTGTGTTTGATCTAATTCATGCATCACCACATTCCTTTTTTTCCCCTTCAAATGCCAAATTCTTCTCTTCTCGGGTATTCAATTGAGTATTACCTTGCTACAGGTACATGTCGATGGCACCACAACCATGTCAACTCATGAAAGGAAAGCAAGCATTAGGGAGTTCTATGGTGAGTTTTTGCATTTTTCTTCTGTTGATCTAATGACATAAATACTTCTGATAAATCATGTAAGTTAGATACCTGTTGCTTATAGACATCAATCTTCCTTGTCCAGCTGTTATTTATCCCTCTTTAGTTCAACTTGAAAGAGGTGTCACAGACTCGGATGACAAAAAACAAAACGCAGTTTGCCAGGAGAGATACAAGAGACGAGATAGTGAGGATTTCAGAAAAGCTTATGATCTGGACATTGAAAGGGAAGATGAATGTGGAATTTGCATGGAGGTGAACAGCAAAATTATCCTTCCCAACTGCAATCATATAATGTGCTTGAAATGCTATCGTGAATGGTATGTTTCATATGCACATTTTGATACATTAATTGAATAAGCTGCTAGTAAGTAAAAAATTAGATATCATCCTGTTCAGTTCATGAAACTAGTGACAAGATCCTTAACTATCGCCTAAATCCCCCAAACCAACAAAGAGAAATAGAAATAGAGTTTTCCTGGATAAAGAGGACATGTTGGCGTTTTACTGACCAAATAATCATATGGGGAGTGAGTCAATTGCACAGGGAAATACTTATGCTTATTTTGTTGGCTAAGATTATTTCTTTATTGCTTCGGTTGTCTCCCCCTCACCCCCCAGTAAATTGGAAACATCTGATGGGTGAAAATCACATGTGGCACAACTATGCTGCTACATATCTTGTACATAGACTAAAGCTATCACATGCACAGAGTCCATGGATTTTTTTGATCCTTTCTTTAAGGTGTTGAACTTTGTTATATAGTTGTGATTTGATGATGAAAATGTTACTGAGAGGCGAACAAAATATAAGCAAATACTATGGGTGGTAGGACTAATCTGAAATAATAATTGATGTAGATTTATTTCAATGGTAGACTAATACTATTTACTTACATTTATCCTTAACTGTCAATCAGGCAATGAGTAATACAATGTCACTCCATTTCTTTGAGCTGTTCTACATGAAATTAGAGTTTTTATGCAAATTAAGAGGTATATAAGAAGAATCTTTCCTCTGCGTGATCCAATGCTGAAGCACTTCTTGATTCTCTATCACTGTTGGTTTTAGATTTGGACTGACTTCAGGCTCACTGCTTTCGACATGTTGCTCGGAACTGTTTTTTGGAGTTCCGATTCAGTTCTGTAGCATGACCATTGTTTCTTTCCTCCTTTGGTCTGGGGAAGGGCCACTCATTGAACTGCTAGTGGGAATTGCAAAGGGAACAGTATTGCAATAAACTTTCGAGAGGGATACACCTCCTAAACTGGTGTTTCAGTCATAATATGTGACACTTCTTTTTCCTGCATTGAATATTTGGTAGTATACACAGTGTGCTAGGAACCTAGGCACTCTACAATTCCTCTGACACCAGATGCTTAAAAGTGTTGAAACTAGAACTATTTGCTCGTCTGTGTAACCACACTTGCTCACTTAAGATACTTTCCATTATTTAATCTTCCTATAATGCACATTAACAAAATCTTCATTGATGCACTGCAGGCGTTCGAGGTCACAGTCATGCCCCTTTTGCCGCGATAGCTTAAAAAGGGTGAGCTCGGGGGATCTGTGGGTGTATATGGACAGCAAAGATGCAGTCGACATGACAACAATTACGAAGGAGAATCTAAGAAGGTTGTTCATGTATATAGAGAAGTTACCATTGATCATGCCGGATAATGTTTTCGACACATATGATGATACTCATCTAAGGTAAAACAGAAATAGCCTATTGGTTGTCTTGTTGAAATTGTTCAAATGCAAGATTTAGAAAATGGAGGTTATGGCATTGGATTTGGTGATGCTGGATTAGACATGAAGGTGGTGGTTCCTTTTCCACTACCTTGTGATTAGAAGAAATCCAGCCTGTATTATTTGGAGCATATAGAGAGGCGGAGCTAGGATTTGAACTTTCATGCATTCTATTGAAATTCTAGGATGGTAACATCGAATTTATGTACATACATAGCACATTTCTCTTGATACAAACACATGGTTTGACTAAAGCTACTAAGTTCAGATGAACTCGTATATTGGCCTCTAGCTCCGACCCTTTTCGGGATTGAGAAGCTAAGTTGGATTTAGCTAAAAAGAGCTTTATAATGCTGTTTTATACACATGCATGTAACAGTTGCTTCTTAAGATTACTATCTCTTTGGTTTCTCAGTTTTATAAGTGGAGTAGTGAATCTCATTAAGGGGTTATAAATAGAGAGAACTTAATGTGGATCTAATAATTTTTAACTCGTGAGCCTCAGAGGTTAGCCCGTGGGTTATTAATATTTTAAATATTTGGTCAAACACAAACAGATTCCTAAATTTGTTGGATTTTTCCTCTTAAGTACCTCAACTATGATATTTTCTTATTGAATCATTGAATAGTCTATAATTTGTTCTTTTTAAACACTGTTGACTGATGGTGTAATCAGATTTTATGAGGTGTATTGGTAGGAGATACATATGTTGTTGCAGAACTCATTAGTCTAATTTATTGTGAAAATGTTCGAGAGTAATTTTATTTTACTTCAAGGTATTTGAACACATTATAAAAGAAATGATTAACACATAGTTTCTCTTCATTCCATCAATCAAAATAATTACAATACTAACACAATTGAAGACATTTACAATTAAAAAAAAGCTGAATAAAATAAGCCAATAGAGTCTAAAATGAACAAATTATGGATGATTTAATGATTTAAAAGGAAAATGACGTAGTTGAAGTACCTGAAGGGAAAAATCCAATAAGCTTAGGGATTTGTTTATGAATTTGGCCTAAATATTTATATATATATTTTTTATTGTGTTTTATTTGTAAAAATTTTATGAATAAATATTTTGAAAAATAAAAAATCAAAGTATTTTGCAATATTTCTTGCATGGTGAATTGTAGGCGAAGATGAACTCCTTAAGGAAATAACATCACATGTTAATTCAAATGTGATCGATGTTGAAAGTAGAAGCAGAGTTATAAAATATTAATTAACGAGTCATGTAATATTTAGAGATTTAGATTTGTTAATATTTAGGCTGCCTTGTGTTGTTGGAAACCTTTTAAATCAGCTAGAGCTTTGTGGAAGAAATGATGGAATGATCAATATTTTATCCGCTAAATCTTATGTTGGCTATTGTGTATCTTTTTAAGTAGTATTCACCAAAGTGTAATTCATAAATGTATTTTTTTAAGTATTCACAGACAGAAGTGTGTGATTTACAAAATAACTTTTTTTATAAATTGACGTCGTATTCATAGGCGTCAACATTCGATACTCTTTTTAGTAATATTGTTCATTTTTTTTATGGAACGGTCACCCATCCCAACCCGTGGCCCGCTTAAGCCTCCCATGTTAATAAGACGAGTTTATTCATATTTATGTATTACTAACACTTTTACTAAGTGTGTTGCAGGTATCCAAGAGTTGCTTGTTTGAAGCTATTCGAAAGAGTTTCGAATTATATTTTTCAATTCATTATTTTGTATATATCGATATTAGGCTGATATTATTATTTTATTTTTATTGTGTATATTGTATGTGTATTATATTTGTACATTATTTTATTCTCCTTATTAATTTGAAAAATTAACTCAGTCAAGAACCATAATTGTGGATTTCGAAGAGTTTCTTTCCTTTGAAATAATTTAAACACTTACCTAAAATCATATAGGTTTCATAGATTAGGTGGCTACTCCCTTTTCTCTTTAATCCTTTTTATCCGTTCCAATTTTTTTTTTAACTAAATTCTTTTTTTAATTGAGTCACCGCGTGTTGTTCCAATTCAAAGAATGTCAACATTCATAAACAACTTAAAAATAAACAATACATATAAAACATCTGACTGACTCAAGAAGTTCTATCAATAGCTTACAAATTAAAATAGAAAAATATCATATATTATTTAAAAATTACATAAAATATATTATAAATCATATAATTGATTATTACTATTATTAAAAAACAATTTTAAAAAATATAAAAAAATATATAAATAATACTATAAATTACAATAATTAATAATTTAAATATCATTAAATTATACTAAATATTTATTATCTTTTTAAATTCAATTTATATTACATAAATTAAAATAAAAAATATATATTTATTAGAACCTGTGCTAGCACGGCTCCAATATCTAATATTTGTGCAATAAACTATACAGAATCAACATGGTCCATGTGGACATTTTTTTCTGGGTCCTTCCCAATTGTCATGATGTAACCCTCCTTTGTTTTTTGTATTTGTTTAGAGAGAATATGGTAAAGAGACGTCGATTTATTAGTTTCATTATCAAATTATTAATGGTATTAAAAATATTTATTTACTTGATCAATTAAAATGAAAGATTTATCTTGCAATATTAGTGAAATATATCTTTGAATTATTATTAAGTTTTGGCATTTTTTTTAATTATTTTTTTCAAATTTTTATTAAGAGTCTCATGCTCCAAGCCCCGAACAAGAGTTAGAAACACTATATATATTATATGGCAATTCGGAGATGTATCTGACTTTAATTAATCAAATAGAAGGTATTTCATAAGGTTCTGTCTAAACCTAGAGATGTCTGATGTCTATATTAAAAAGTTGGATTAAATCTGAATTCATGTTTATAAGACTCATATTCAAAAGTGACACTCTCAGAGATTATAACCCGAAACTTTTAATTAATAATTTAGAGTGGAGGGATTTCAACCGTCCTAGATGGAAACCCGATCTCACATTTTTTTAAAATTATTTAGTTCAACTATTATTATTATGATTTTTATTTTTTTATATTCTAATTTAAATCTAAAACCAACCCGCTAATTTAGCTTATTCAAGCTGTACAAGAACAGAAATAAAGATAACATCAAAACAAAAACAGAAAGACAAGAGACAGAGAGAGAGAGGGAGAAAAAAACAGAAAAAAGCAGAAATGGGATTTGAAGGGGAAAAGAGAGAAGAAGAAGAAGGTGTAAGAATGGCTAATGATTTCTTTTGGTCATATACAGATGAACCTCATGCTTCTCGTAGAAGACAGATCCTCTCTCAGTACCCTCAAATCAAACAGCTTTTTGGTCCTGACCCTTTTGCTTTTCTCAAGGTATAAATTTGAAATCTTTTATTCGTTTTGCTTTTTTGGGTATCTTAGATCTGGGATAATGTTTGGTGGGTAGGGCTAAAAATTCAATCTTTGAGGCTCATTTGGTTATAGTCCTGGGATAATGTTGGATGGGTCATTTGGTTATCTTGGGATTATGGTGTTGGGATTGAATTTGTATTTTATTTGATTGACGTTCAAATTTGATAACCAGATACACTGTAAAATTTGGGTTTTCATTTGATGGCTTTTTATTTCTTTTTGAAATGTATGTGTATGTTTCATTGTGTTTTCAAGGATATTTGTTAAATGGAATTGTGGGGTTTAGCTTTTTCTTTGGATTGGGTATTATTTTTAAGATTAAGGGGTAAATCTATGTGATTTGGAGTCATTATAGTTTTTTCTTTGAAGGAATTTGCTTGCTGAATCAGGTTAATTCAATTGTGAAAGACATAGTAGTGGTTGAGCCTTAAGGCCTCGGGTATGGAGTCATCTTTGTTAGGAATGTTTCATCCCGCATTGTAGATTTCCGGGGGCGAATCTGGATCTAGTTGGGTTCTAATGCAGTTACTGAACACTAGATGGGAAATCAAAAATAAATAAGCTAAAGAAACATATGAAACATTCTTTAATTTTCTGTAAAGGTGATTCAGTGTATCCTCTCCTTTTCGCTTTTCCTGAAAAAGAAGAAGAATGTTGTGGTTATCAGGGTTGAGTGGTTTTGGTTAAACTCTTCTCTGATTTCTCGTTACGTGATTTTGGTGAGACGAAAACTCAGTAATGAGATTCACATGATTTGGTGCCTTATCTTTCTCGTTTTCCTTGAGTTTATGGTGTCATTTTCATAGTTTTACAATAGATTAATGCTTTGTAATTTTATATGTTTTGATTGTTGATGAAATGGATGGTGAAAGAATTGACCTTAACAATATGGAACATGGGACTAGTCATATACTTTGAAATTTCTCCCAAGAGATTTGATTAGAAATTGTAAATCAAATCAGCATATGGTCTTCGATTTATTACTCGAGCCCCTCTCCTTTCTTCCCCCCCTGTTTATTCAATTGTATGATCAAATCCCTTGTCTACAAAGTCTAATATTTTGATCGATAATGTTATATGATTATATACTTAGGCAGGTAAATCGATGGTGACAACAGAGAAGTCATGTACCTTTGGCTTGGTCATGTCATAGCCTTTTAATCATTCATGTGTATGCAATTAGACATCTAGATTCGTTGGTGGAGAACTGTGCGTTTTATTGCAGAACACTAGTTATTGAATCTGTCTAGAATATGAGGAACTGATTGGTGCTACTAGTTTCATTTAGACTGAGTGCTCACTGTGTACTTTTTTAATATATTAACCATGCAGATATCAGGAGTTGTTTTGCTTCAGCTTTGGACAGCTACCTTCCTCCATGATGCAACGTGGTTGAAGATATTGATAGTCGCATACTTCTTTGGCTCTTTTCTGAACCATAATCTCTTCCTGGCCATTCATGAACTAAGTCACAACCTTGCTTTCTCTACTCCAACCTACAACCGTTGGCTTGGAATTTTTGCCAACCTTCCCGTTGGTGTACCCATGTCTGTAACCTTCCAAAAGTATCACCTTGAGCACCATCGCTTCCAAGGAGTTGATGGAATTGATATGGACATCCCGAGCCAAACTGAAGCCCATGTAGTGAAAAATGTTCTTGCAAAGTCTATATGGGTCATTCTCCAACTTTTCTTTTATGCATTCAGGCCTCTTTTTCTAAAACCTAAACCACCTGGTCTGTGGGAGTTCATTAACTTTACTATCCAGCTATCCCTTGATGGAGCTATGGTTTACTTCTGGGGCTGGAAGTCGCTAGCTTATCTTATCCTATCCACGTTTGTTGGGGGCGGGATGCATCCAATGGCTGGTCACTTCATCTCTGAGCATTATGTCTTCAAGCCTGAGCAAGAGACATACTCCTATTACGGACCCCTTAACCTCATGACATGGAGTGTAGGATACCACAATGAGCACCATGATTTTCCCAGAATTCCCGGAAGCAAGCTCTACAAGGTGAAGGAGATTGCACCAGAATATTATGAAAACTTAGATGCTTACAAATCTTGGAGCCAGGTAATCTACATGTACATAATGGATCGAACAGTTGGACCTTTCAGCAGAATGAAGAGAAAGTTGTCTACAAAAGCAAACAAGTCCGAATAGATGCAGTGATAGTCCTCCCCTCTATTCTTTGTTAATTCTTTCAGTGTTACTATGTGATGTTTCTTATCGATAACGACTATTGGTTCTTTTGTAACAATGTAATAGAGTTCTTGGCATCATGTGCAGTAGAGTTGATGTAGCAAATGACTACGTTCATCAATTACATTAACATATACATACTCAGTGAAATCCTTGAGTCCGGAAAGAGTAGGATGTATGTAGATCTTACTCATACTTTCATGGAGTAGAATGACTGTTTTTGATAGGCTCTCGGCTCTAATCATAAATAATCATATAAATGTTCATGTGTTATGGGAATTTCCATGTTTATTTTACTGCTTGTTGTCTTAAAAGGGGAAAAAGAAATGGCACATTTTGAAGCATTGGATAGGCCTAGGAGTCTCATCCTAGTTAGAAACAGCCCATATTATCTTCACAAGCATAATATTAGTGTTAACACTAATAGTCCTTCGGGATGGTTCAGTTGGTCTGGAGGGTGGTTATCCACACGGATAACTCGGGATCTATCCCCCCTCATTGCCTTCTGAGTTGAGTCTGTCTCATAAGGCTCGCCTAGTGCAGTTTGCAGGGTATTACATAGTGGGGGATTTACCTAGTGCACACAAAGTGTGCTCACCCGAAGGGCAGAGGCTGTGGCAGAGGTTATAGCGGTTGCGGATTTTCTTGGGGTTCCGAAAAAAGAAGTGTTAACACTAATAGAGAATTGGCTTGTTTATATTCTCACCGTTACATTTTACACATCGGCGTTTGATTGGACACACAGTTTTGAAAAAAGGAGGTTTAGAAATTGTGATTTTGAATACACCATACATTTTTGTACCGAAAGTTCTAAAAGTTTTCAATCATAAAAATGTGTCATTTTTTTTTTTAAAAAAAAAATAGAATATACATAAAGAGCACAAATAAAAAGAAAACAATAGACTACTTGATTTTTCTTAAATTTAGGTCATAATAATAATTGGAAAAATGTCACATAAAATAAAATAACGGATTTTCGACGCGAGATGGAACATCACCTCTATGATCTTTGGGCAAAAACTTTGGGCTAATCATTTCATTAAGCAAATTAATGCTTGAACTAATCAAAATGTGTCTTTTCCTTCCATATATGAAACTTGTTACATTTTGATTATTTTTAAAATTATATTATCCTTAAATATAAAAAAGGGTACAAATTTAACATAATATATAATTAATAAAACGATCAAATAATTAATTTAGTAATTTGTGAAGATCCATGTTTATTGATTGAAAGTTATATATGCTTAACCAAAAATTTATCACAAAAGATCAAAATTCAATATTTATAAACATTTCAAGAACTAAGAAGTGCAAATTTCTCGAAAATGTTCAAGAGTAAGTGCAGTATAATTGTTTGGCAAAATAGCAACAAAAATATTTTCATTGATTAGTCACGTAAACATAAGATCTACGTATATTCTACCTTCTCTACACCCTAGTGGCGGGTTTACACTGGGTTGTTTAATTGCAAACATTTGGAAACAGTATCATAATTCTGAAGAAGTGTAAAACAATCAAAAACAATTTTAGAGTTTTGGTAATAAAAAACAATGTTATCATTAAAAATGTAATGAGATGACATTTTTAGCCAAGTTGTACACAGTTTTTTCTCATGATAATATCAAATACTTGTCTATGATTGCTTGTTAATTTTAAGAAAATTTAGCAACTTTCCAATAAGCTCTAAAAATGTTTCCAAAAGGAAATTACTACTGCCTCTTGACTTGTGACAAAATTTAAGACTTATGGTTGTGATCCTAACAGAACAAATGTATTCCAAGTTGTCTACACTGTCAGACCTGTTGATGCTACGCGGATGTCCCAGGTATGTCATCAATCGTTTGGCTAGGTTCCCCGGGTAGTATTCTTTTCACAGCACGAGTGGTCAGTTTATCTTTGGGAGGAGGCGGAGGAGGCCTGCTTGGATGGATTTGATCGACTTTTTGGGAAGGAACGTCAAACTGCATAACCAACAACACAGGGTCATCTAACAAGAAACTGGAAATATATATGGCAAGCAATGCATAGTTGAGAAACGCAACAACATGCAATGAGACATAGCATACCAGCACAGTTGCAGATGAAATGAACAAGTATTCATTCAAAATAAGTGGATCAAATCGGTGTAAGCTAGTTTACGATACAGATTCTTCATTTGTCTAAAATGTACCCATAACATCAGTATGAATATTTGATATTCATTCTGCAAATAGTTAAAATATTAAGTACCCATGTCAAATTATATCCATACCCAACACTCATACTACTGTCCACATAAAGTTGCTTTAAGAATATATATTTGTTTTTCTTGTACTTATTTCTTCCTAAGCCCTCGCAAACAGAGAGACGGCACAGAGTAAGCGTGAGGTGCTACTTTCACTTGGATACTCTTTCCATAACCACACTTACTCCATCACCTCCATGCTTTTAATATCTTGAATTTTACTCATTATCAGCACTTGATAACTTTTCAAGCAGCAACCTTTTGGAAACATGTCCAACAAAGCCTAAATTAGGGAAAAAATAAAAACCAACATAGAGCGGCAGAATGCTATCTTTTCAATGTTTTGACTAGAGAAATTACAACTATTCTCTCGCTGATGCACAGGTCTCATGATCACTGGTCACGACCAAAAGAGTTGCTGGAACTTATTGTATCCATGCATGGGAGTATCTTGATCCAGTTTTCTTTTACAATTACTATGACAGTTCACTTAGTGCAACTACTTAGAAAATAAACTCCAAGTTTTTGTCAATAACACAAACTGACCTTGTATCCACAGCCAGCTACACAAGCATGAAAGCATTCCTGCGTGCAATAAAGAAGATTACATGTCATTTGAGTGTCAAAAGGAAAGAGGGAATTCACATTTTTTATTTGAAAATTTTACTCCACTAACCAACGCAGAACAACCAACTTCAATGGAGAAATCAACTCTCAAGTAAATCGAAGTATTGAAATTCTAACTATTACAATAGCTAAACGAAACAAATTAACATACTAAACTACAAAGAGGGACTAAATCTACAAACATTAACAAAGACTTTTAAGTTGCCAAGAAGAATTAAGATACTCTAAGCTCCAGCGATAGTTTTCTTCCTCCAAATTCATTCTAAAAAGAAAGAACACAAATAAAACGAGTATTTATAGTTATGAGTTATGACTTGAGGGATGAGTTGTTTTTTAGTTTATATGGTTTTGGGCAAACATTACCTCATGACCAACCAACCTTTTGAAGTTGAATTAGGCCCAAAGTTCATTTCTTCCCACTCTTAATTGTTAGCCTTTAATGAAAATGACCTAAACAGGAGTTCTTGATACCAGATCCCTCTAATGCAAGAAGGAATAATTGGCCTTGGATTTGCTTATTTGATTCAATCATAGTCCTTTAAGTCGTGATACTAGATCATTTGAGTTACGTCTTGGAGTTCTTGTAAAAAAAATTATGTTAGATCCTCATAAATGGTCAACTTTAAGGATCCACTTGACTCGGGTTAGCCTCTAGATACGCATCATCTCTCCCCACTTGAAGATAAGCCAAAAACATTAAAGTTAACACTAACACCATACTCACCGAACAAATCAAGCTTGTAGGCGTTGTCATTGATCCTTTACAACAACTTAAAATGGTCTATTTCCCCTTCGATCAAGCTTTCTCTTCCTTTTGGATAGAAATCCCTCCTTCCTCACATGTATCTATACCCAATCACCAATTGGAATACGTCTTTTCCTTTAATTGACAATGGAAGCACAGGCATCATTCTTGATCGCAAGATATTGTCAAGCATTCTCATGTAGTTTCTTCATCGATATGGCCTTAGCTTTGCCATCAACACCCAAAATTTCATTAGCGGAAATGGGAAGTAAATCTAAAGGAGATACAAGGATTGAAACCATATACCAATTCAAAAGGTGAATGATCTGTTGTACTAAGAATATTCTTATTATATGCAAACTCCACAAACGAAATACACCCTTCCCAAGCCTTCAAATTATTTTCAACTATGACCTTTAAAAGATTCCCAAAGTCCTATCGGCCATTCCATTTGCCCATCTGTTTGAGGATGATATGTTGTACAAAAGATCAAACCTGTTCCTAATTTAGCCCATAGAGTTTTCCAAAAATAACTCAAAAATTGTATATCCCAATCACTCAGAATGGACCTTGGTATACCATGAAGGCGCACCACTTCTTAAAAGACCAAATTGGTAGCACCATCACCATTATAACATGGATCCATTCTTGAGAAGCAATCAACAACAATAAACATACTGTCTTCCCAACTCTTAGTTGTGGGCTTATCTCTGAGATTTGGATTTAGTTGTGGGCTTATCTCTGAGATTTGGAAGCAACCGGTGATCAAATGCCTCCAAGAAACTGATGTGGAGTGGGTGCTCAGGATGGTTTCCCATTTGTGCAAGAATCATATGGTATGGGTAGCAGGAAGCCTTACACACAAATGTGCCCTCCCACACAAGTATTGGAACTCTGGTTGCTATGCCAGCATATCTGTTCAGTGCAGAGATAGACACCTGCTGGGCTTTGGCATGCTACCACTTGGTTTTCTCCTTATGCATATTCGTATTTTCATAGGCATGCAACCTAAACTTAACCAACTAGTGCAACTATAGCATGCATTTCTCACCTACTAGTGCCATATCCAAGTTGAGTTTTTTTGATTGCCCAATATGCATGTATTCCAATTTGACCAGCAGGTGGCAATCTTTCCCATAAACCAACCTGTAAGGAGAGGTTAGAATAGGTGTTTATATGCTGTTTGATATGCCCACAGAGTGTCATCCAACTTCATAGCCCAATCTTCCTTGTTGCACACACCCTCTTCTTAAGCATAATTTAGTTTCCTTGGCCTAAATCCTATCAGCTAGTCCTTCAAAAAGAAGAATACTGCAGCTCGCTCCTCAACAGTAGCTGAATATAGCAGTTTCCAATGCCTTTCCTGAAATATTTTGGATGAATAATATATTGCTTGAGACGTGCTCTCTAGTCAAAGTGGTCCCTACTAATACCTGTCATAACATTTATGTCACATTGTCACTTATTTGAGCGAGAATCCAGTAGAGCATGAAACATGTTGAGGTGGACTTAGATTTTTTGTGCAAATATGTCCAATGACAACTGGTTCGAGTTGTTCCTGTCCATGTTGCTGATCAACTATCTGATACACTCACAAAAGCACTCGTCAAGCATCACAATTTGTTCTAGGCTTAGTAACGCATAGCCTAACTTTATGGGGCGTATTAGAATACATATTTCTTGTTATTAGTTTTATCCACTAAAAGTAATTTATATTTATTATTTGCGTTTTAGATTAGATATTATCTAGACAGGCTTTAAGAGTTATCCTTCCGTTAGATAGGTGTGTTAGTATCTTGACCAGCACAAGTCTCCAAACACAAGGACTACTCTTAGAAAGGCGGTCCCTGCAGACCTGTATTTAATCATTGTTATGTCCAATACAATATACAGTTTCCACCACTACTAAAGTGTTCATGAAGCACATATTCATTATTCCCTCAAGGACAAGGTGAGAAGCACATACTTCTAAAGTTCAATACTACAAGTCAAGCCAGCTAACAAAAATGATGGTGATCATACTAGCCGTCCAAGACCAAACCTCATGATGAAATATTCAAGATATTGGTCCACAGAAACATGAAAACTTGTATCATTTTGATGAAGTCATGAACATTCATATTAACATATGACGCAAAGGCACCCATAACTGCACTAGAAGCTCCCTTGAGTTTTTAGCAGATCAAAGAAAACCTTGCCATTTTGTCCATGCTAACAACTCTCTTTACTCTTCATTCAAAAAAATAATTTGTAGAAACTCTTTTTACTACTTACAAAACGGAAGAGAATAAAGGCCTCAGCTTGCAAAGGACAAATCAGCATTGTACTGTGACAATCCATGTATGATCTTGTAAGATAATGAAGAATAAAACAGCTATTGCAGACACCATGGTTAGTAAAAAAAATAAAGAGAGATTATGAATAATACTATTGAGAGTGTTGACTTTCAATCCAGACCCTGAACAGAGGGAAAAAATGAATTTGAACTACAATTGACAAACTTCTTCATAAAGCAAATCAACTTGTAAGAGCTAAGAAACATCACATTTTGAGGACTGTAAAAGAAAAACCAATTGAAGATAACAAGAAAGGTTGGGAGACCTCAGAGCAGCTGGCGGCACCAGGAGATCGATCGATGTAAGCACTCCACTGTTGATCCTTCAGAACTGGATTTTTATAGCATATTTCCTCACATTCTGATAAACCTGCTTATAGCTCGTTATTCCTCTGTTGTAGCTTAGATCAATAGATAAGCCTCATAGAGGTTTCAAATTAAAAAAATAAGACAATTCAAAAGCATTAGTTATATATAAGTTCAATGTCTCAAGATTAAATAATAAAGGTTGAACTCCATAACGGGAGCAACATTATGGACATTCCCAAACCTTGGTGAATGATGAATATCATCCAATGCCATCTTCTGAAGGTTAAATAACTTAAGCTGGCAATATAAGACAACTAATATGGACATTTTACATAGTGAAGGCATGTTTTTCTCCTGTTCATAAACTAGTAAGTCCTGGTCTGTCACCCATAGTAACATGTTATCTTGTGGAATACAATAAATTTCTATTCACCAGTGTAAGATTCTTCCATATGCAAGTTTTTCTACAAGCAGCACAACTCCTCACCACAACAATCAGACAGCAAGGTAAACTGAAATATTCACCAGGGTTATTTAGAAACCAACAAATATGGAAACTTGGAGCTTACATTCATCCCACGTCTCTCCATCAGCATCACATCCTTTTTTGCAAAAGACTCTCCCTTCAAAAATTCAGACATCACAAAATTATGATATATCAGAGCTGAATTCATGCCAACAAACAAACTACTACTAGAAGAAATCAACACTAGAACATTTGAAATAAAATTAAACCTGCATTATATATTATCAAAGAAAATTATATTTTACAGAACTGTTTCAAAACTAAATTAAAAAGAGTGAACACAAAAGATAGCAAGCTCAAAAAGTGGGAGAGGGATGTTATTCTACTAGGTCTTTATTTAGCTGTGGTCCTTTTATATCTACTCCAGAGTCTACCTTCCCTTTTTATCAACTCCATGTACCATTATCACATTTAAGACAACACATTTGCAATCAGTCGGTAGAAATATCAAGCTATTAATTTCATATCTGTCTATGACAAGTCATATTTCCATCAAAGAGAAAATTCCAAGTAGGTTTATATTTTATCCAACTAGCATTGATTCAGAACTTTCAACCATCGCTTCAAAGGTCAAATAAGGATCGAAAATCTGACAGGCCCACTCAAGATAATATAAAAGAGTGATTTGGATACCTAAATAAGGACCTGCTAACGATGATCTTATCCATTCCATTCACAACTATATATTTTTACATCTGAAGTTTTGGCATGCCAGAACCATATGGATTGTCTGCTGTCAAAAGTGCTTAAGATACACATGATGATCTTTGCTAGCAGTGACAACCTTAACATAGAGAAGAAACCAATCAGAGGTACAGTCAAACCTCTCTATAACAACCTCGTTGTTTCCAAAATTCTTTTCAGCTTTTGTAGCAAAGGTTATAATACACCTGTAGCAACATTTGACATGTAAATCTTATTTGACTGTTATAGACAACAATTACCCAGTATTCTTTTCTCAATTTTGATGTTATAAACAAATCAATTACCGAAGTACGCATTGATGTTATATTCTTTGCCGAAAGTGGTATGTTAAAAGTTCAAAATATCTAGTCAAAATACTAGACTTGTTATTGTTATCTTAGAGATTCTATTTCTATATGGGGCTTTAGGATTGTAATCGGTACTAGTGTTTTTTCATTATGAAAATGAATGACAAGCAACAGAAGTAGGAAATAGTAGAAGCCATTAATATTTGAGTAAGGTTGTTATAGAGGAGTAATTTTACAAATAAAGTATTGTAATATTGATGGTAGTTGTTGTTATAGGCAAAAATATAACAAAAATTGGTTGTTATAGTGAGATGATGATATAGTGGGTGGGTGTCATAGAGAGGTTTAATTTTAGTTGATTAAATAAATTATTATAGGAAAGTAAAAATAATTTCCTTCTTAGTGTCCATAGTTATAGGCTATGTTGCTCGGACTCTTTAAATTTCTTGTCACACCCGTGTAAACATGGGTGGGGGATCCACACCCGATTTGATCAACCTAACTTGGGTACTTTGACTACACCTATGGCCAAGAAGTACACGTTGATCGGGTATCCAGTTTAGATATGGGCTTATGTCATACAAATATAAACATAAAGCGCCACAACAAGTGTTTAAAATGAATGCAGCCATACTAGCCCTAATTTCATAAATTCAACTAGTTGCCGAAATATAAACTTTTAGGCTTCGTAATATGCATTTATTGGTTATATTCAAACACTTGAAACCATACTCCTACCATATCCCCTAATCCTAAGATAACTAATATTTGTATCAATTTATAACTATGCAATAATCATTTTTCATTTTATGTAATAAATAATATGAAACTAAATTACCTTATTAATCATATATAAGTTAATTTTCACCGTTCTTAAATAACTAATTGTTCTATACATTATTTTTAGTCATATCCCAGCACCCATATCGGCAATCGCATACATACCCATGCGATGATGAATCCAACCTCTAGATCCGCCACCCATGTCGGATACCCACACCCGAATACGAGCAACATAGGTTATAGAACTTGAAATTTTTAAGACCTTATTGACTTTTACAGTTGATAATTGTCTAAACAGGTATTTAAACATATCCTTTTCCGGTAACAGAGAGAGCATAGGTAGCTGATTAAATATCTCAATGTAGAGGCCTAGAGGGTTTTCTTTCCCTTCCGTTTAACAACCACATTTTTTCAAGCAAAACCAACACACTATTTTTATTCTTTTAGTCCAACCACACGTCTTAGGCCTTCTGAATTAACACGACAACACACATCACCAAGTTTAACAGCGAACAGTTAGATTGACATACTGATTTTCCATATCGCAGAGAAAACTGGAAATTTGGAAATACTGGAATAAGTTTCTACATTTTTGACAAACTATAAAGGAAAGCTATGTAGATCTACACTGAATAGTTGTTGGTTATTCAATGTACCTTCATTGTAATGCTTGCAATTAACTTCATTGTAATTAACAAGTTACACCACACAATTAAATGGATTATGATGGTAAACCGGCCAACAGTAGTCTGACTTTTCCGGTTTATAAAGGTGAAAAGGTTTGAAAGAGCTGGAAGAAAGTAGGAACACTAATCAGAAGGACTCAAATTAAACAGCACACCACATAAATCTAGCCAAACACACTTAAAATTCACTTCAATACAAGTAATAATACGCCAAACAAGAAAATGGATTATGATGTTAAACTAGCCAGCAGTATTCTGAGTTCCCCTTCTATAAAGGTAGAATATGCTTGTTTTAAGAGTTAAAAGGAATACTCAAGTGAGAAAAATACAAATTCGATAGCACGACCAAGAAATCAAACCAAACACACAGTAATATGTTAAGCTAAATCGTTTGATTAAAAAAATATAAGTTAAGCCAAACAAGAAAATGGATTATTATGTTAAACTGGATAGCAGCATCCAGAGTTCCCAGTCTATAAAGGTAGGATAGGAACCAAGCACACAGTCCAACCAAAACTTAATTGCAAGGTATACATAGAATAGAAGAGAAATAACACCCTAATGGCACCAAGATGATAATTTTCCTACAGGCACAAATACTCCCTTTCCTCTTCCACTATAGCCAGACACAGTTGAAAGCGGCCTAATGCAATGCACCTGCACCAAGCTATAATTCTATATCATGCATAAAATATTGGACGGCTGCATAATATCAACATTTACTCAAATAACATCCTACCCTAAAAAGCAATGTCTCACAGTCAATGTAGCTTGGATGAACTTTGGTAAAAAAAAAAGAACATTTTTATTTGATAACAGTCATTAATAAACAAAGAAACCAATTTAAAAGACCAGTATGGACTCTAAAAGATACAGACTTCATCTGTAGTTTTCTTGTTTCTTGTACAACCAGTCATACCCCCTTGGAAAATTAACATAAAAACTCTACCTTTACATAAAATTTCCAAAATTCTAGATAACCAATGACCATTGCTCCTTCCCTCAAACCAAAACAAAAGGGAGATTCTTCTTCTTTCTGCTTTGAAGCTTTTGAGACACAACACCTAATGAATTAGATTGAGAACGATGATGTCCCAGTTGCAATACCCCATGAAATAAGTCGAGTTGCCCGCACACCAGGGTTATAATGAAAAAAAAATAGACACAGAGTAATGCATTTAGATTTAACAAAAGTATCTACACATAAAGACAGTAAACACACAGAAAAAGATGAGTATTTTACATCCCAATGCAGATTACCCCAGCACAAATCAAAAAGATGAGTCTTTTTTACATAAAGATTCTACCTTTACATAAAATTCCCAAAATCCTATAAAACCAACGTCCACTTCTCCTCTCCTCAAACCAAAACAAAAGAGAGATTCTTCTTCTTTCTGCTATAAAGCTTTTTACAGGATGAATTAAACATAGTCAAAAATTCAAACACAACATGAGTCTCACTAGCAAATAGCCCATGAAATTAGTCAGGTGGACACAAACTGTCCAGACAGAAGGGTTATCATAAAAAAAATTCAAACACAGAGTAATACATTAAGATTAAACAAATATATCTACACATAAACACAATGTCTGCAAATTTAGCATAAAGATACAATTTTCAAGATTGTAGCTTTGT